CCAGGGGGAGGGAGGGAGATGACTCTGACCCGGGGGGAGGGGGGGAGATGACTCTGACCCAGGGGGAGGGGGGGAGATGACTCTGACCCAGAGGGAGGGGGGGAGATGAGTCTGACCCGGGGATCGCGGGGAGGTGGCTCCGAGCTGCAGCCTCGGGCTTTGGGCGATGCAGGAAGCCGCACCGAGAGCTTGGGCCGGGCCGGCCCCCAGTACAAGCCGAGTTCCTGGGCCGGATCCGTGTCTCGTCCCGCCGCCGGTGATACCCACCCGATCCCCGGCCCAGAGCCTCCGGAGAGCGCGGCCGAACGGCTCCGAGCGACAGGCAGCGGCTCCCGGAGCTTCCCAAATCCAAGCCAATCTCAGCAGCTCCTTCCACTGGAGAGAGAGGGAGGGAGGAGGAGGGAGAAGGAGTAATGAGGGAGGAGGGAATGATGAAGAGGGGGTAAGAGGACAGGAGGGGGGTTTGAAGGGAGGGTCAGTATGTCAAGGCTAAAGGCAAGAGGGAGGGTGAAGTAGGGGGTTGAGGAACCGAGGTAGGGGTGGGGTGGGAATTGGAGTAAGAGGGCAAAGAGAGAGAGGAAGGTGGCAGACGGAAAAGAGGGAAATGTGGGGGAGAGAGATGCAGGAAAAGAGACACCAAGACAAAACGAGAGAGAAAGGGAAGAGAGGCACACAGAGGAAGAGATATAGAGAGACTTTGATACGGAGAGAGAGGGTGAGGTAATAGGAAGAGAGAGATAGTCAGTGATGGAGCAAGAGAGGAGGGTGGACAAAAGTGATAAACACATGGACCTCTCTGCTTTCTCATTCTCTCTGTCCACCTTTATTTAGCTATCTCCATCACTCTGATACTACCCCTCTCTCTGATCCGGTCTCTCTATATCTTTCTCATTCAGTTTACTCCTCTCTCTCCTCTTCAATTTCTGTCTACTCTTTTCTATCCTTCTCTTTTCCTCTTGTGCACAGTCTTTCTCTCCCTTTTCCTGCCCCTTCTCTCTCTCTCTCTGTGCCTCTGTGATCAGAGTTAGGGTTGGGACAGCTATTCCCAGGGCTGGGGAAACCCCGGTCCGGAGCAGTGTAATCACAGGGCTGTGATCCCTGTCCCACCTCCATGCAACTGTCTGTGTGGATTTTGCACATTCTCCCTGTGTCTGTGTGGGTTTCCTCCCACAGTCCAAACATGTGCAGGGTAGGTGGATTGGCCATGCTAAATTGCCCATAGTGCCAGGGGATGTTTAGGTTAGGTGGGTCAGACATGGGAAATACAGGGGTAGGGGAATGGGTCTGGGTATGATGCTCTTCAGAGGGACAGTGTGCACTTGTTGGGCTGAATGGCCTGTTTCTATACTGTAGGGATTCTGTAATATGGGACTGGGATATCATTGCTGTGTCAGAAACGTGGCTCAGGGAAGGGCAGGACAGGCAGCTTAGTATTGCATGGTAAAGATGCTATGGGAAAGATAGAAGGGGGGGGTGGGTGCAAGAGAGAGGGGAGTGGCTTTTTTGGTTAGGGATATGAATTAGATAAATGTGAGGTTGTTGTATTTTGTTAATGCAAATCAGGGCAGGATGTATGCATTTAATAGCAGGGTTCTGGACAGTGTTGGCAAACAAAGAGACCTTGGAGTGCAGGTTCATAGTTCCTTGAAAATGGAGACACAGGTAGACAGGGTAGTGAAGGTGATAGTAGGAACTGCAGACGCTGGAGAATCTGAGACAACAGCGTAAATTTCTGAAGAAGGGTCTAGGCCCGAAACGTCAGCCTTCCTGCTCCTATGATGCTGCTTGGCCTGCTGTGTTCATCCAGCTCTACGGCTTGTTGTCCCAGGGTAGTGAAGGTGTTTGGTACGCTTGCCTTTATTGGTCAGTGCATTGAGTATAGGTGTTAGGATGTCATGTTGTGGCTGTACAGGACATTGGTTAGGCAACTTTTGGAATACTGTGTTCAATTCTGGTCTCCCTGCTATAGGAAAAATGTTGTTAAACTTGAAAGGATTCAGAAAAGATTTACAAGAATGTAGCCAGGGTTGGAGGGTTTGAGTTATTGGGAGAGGCTTAATAGGATAGCAGCATTGGAGGCTGAGGGGTGAATTTATAGGTTTATAAGATCATGAGGGGCATGGGTAGGGTTAAACTTGAAAGCATTTACAAGGACTTTGCTGGAGTTGTAGGGGGTGAGCTGTAGGAAAAGGCTAAATAGCTGGGCTATTTTCCTGGGAGCTTTGGAAGCTGAGGGGTGACCTTACAGAAGTTTACAAAATCATGACAGGCATGGATAGGGTGAATAGCCAAGTTCTTTTTTCCAGGATAGGGGATTCCAAAACTAGAGGGCATAGGTTTGAGGTGGGAGGGAAGATTTAAAAGGGACCTAAGGGGCAACTCTTTCATGCAGAGGGTGGTGCGTGTATGGAATGAGCAGCTAGAGGAAGTGGTGGAGGCTGGTACAATTACAACATTTAAAAGATATTTGGATGGGTATATGAAAAGGAAGGGTTTAGAGGGATACAGGCCAAATACTGGCTTATGGGCCTAGATTAATTTAAGACATCTGGTCGGCTTGGACAAGTTAGACCAAAGGATCTGTTTCTGTGTTGTACATCTCTGTGACTCTATGAATAGGAAGTATTCAGAAGGATATGTGCCAAATGCTGGCAAATGAGACTAGATCAGTTTAGGATATCTGGTTGGCATGAACGAGTTGGACTGAAGAGCCTGTTTCCATGCTGTACAACTCTATGACTATAAATACTCACAGGCACATACACACACACACACACACACACACAGGCATACCCGCACACACAGGCACACACACACACAGGCACATGCACACACACGCACACACACAGGCGCACGCGCACACACAGGCACATGCACGTTGATAGCAGCCATGTACACACTCACTGCAAGCACAGACTGCTTTGTTTGGAGAGATCAGTAAGTGGGGATTGTGAATGGAACACTAAACCTTTCTGCTCTGTGTGGGGTTGAGTATCATGTGGCTGAGATCAGCTGCATTGAGAATCTGAGAAATGGGAGAGGGTCAACAGTCATAAACAGCTCAATTTGAGGAGATCAAACTGAAGATTTGAAAAACAATTCAAAGTTGGGAAGGGAAAAAATTACAGGCACACCAAGAAAAAGCTGAGGAATTGAGAAGTATAAGAAGGAGATACAAGGGGAGGGTGAGAGAATCAGTCAGGGTGTCTGGCGGGGACGAAAGTTTCGTGGACGTATCTTCATTGACACCGTTTTCAGGGAGTAGTAATCAGAGTTCCTCCAGCTGTACCACACAATCCCATCCGGTCCCAGTAGCACCTTGTCCTCCGCTGAGTACTTTCCACCCTGTGGGAGTGAGAAGACACAGGGTAGGAAGAGGGTGCAGCAGTTGGACAGCAAGGAAGGGACAGGGGAGGGCATGGGAATTAAGGGAAGTGAGAATGAGGGCAGGAGAGTGAGAGGAGGGAGTAAGAGCAAAGGGGAGGGAGTGAGAGGTTGGGGAATCAGGAATAATGAGTGGGGAGAAAGACAGAGGGGTAGACAGTGGTAGAGTAGAGAGAAGGAGGAGTGGGGGAAACATTGGAAGAGGGAGACATGAGTAAGGGGATAGAGAGGGAGAATTTGACAGAAAGTGGGGAGAGAAAGGAGGAGTGAAAAGAAGGAAGGGAGTGAGAAAGAGAGAGAGGAGGGAAAGTGAGAGAGAAGGAGAGACTAGTTATGTTCAATAGGCAGCAATAGAGAATGAGAACGAAAAGCCAATTCAGGGCCCTGAGTAATACTCCATCTACCTTTACCATAGTAAAGTACCTCAAGGAGCTGCACAGGAGACTGAGCAGCCAAAAACAGACACTGGGGGCCATGAGAGTAAAGTTCCAAAAGCTTGAGCAAAAGGATAGGTTTTCAGAAGTAGAGATAACAAGGTGTAGAACTGAATGAACACAGCAGGCCAAGCAGCATCAGAGGAGCAGGAAGGCTGACGTTTTGGGTCTGGACCCTCGTCAGCTTTCCTGCTCCTCTGATGCTGCTTGGCCTGCTGTGTTCATCCAGCTCTACACACTGTTATCTCAGATTCTCCAGCATTGGCAGTTCCTACTATCTCTGTTTCAGAAGTGCCTTCATGGGAAAGAGCTATAGAGAGGTACAGGGAGGAAATTTGATAATGGAGACCTAAGCTGGCTGAAGACTAGACGTCTCCCAAGAGCGTTTGATTGGGAAAGTGTAGATGAAGCTTTACTTAGTGCTGAACCTTATGCTGTATCTGTCCTGGAAAGTGTAGAGAGAGCTTTACTTTTTATCTAACCCCATGCTGTACCTACCCAGGGATTATTTGATGGGGACAGCATAGAGTAAGCTTTACTTTCAGTTTAAAAGAGTATAGGGAGCTTTACTCTGTATCTAACCCTGTTCTGTACTTGTACTGGGAGTATTTGACAGGGACAGTGTAGAGATAGCTTTATTTCGAAGGTGGCATTAAGTTTAAAAGGGTAAATAGAGCTTTACTCTATGTCTGGCCCTGTGCTATCCATGTCAGGAAGTATTTGATGGAGACCATGTAGTTTTTGACTTTCAATTTAAAAGAGTAGAGGAGGGCTTACACAATATTGAACCCTGTGCTATACCCAGCCTGCTAATCCAGGGTTCAGTTAGCTTGGATGGCTGGTTTGAGATGTGGAGTGATGCCAACAGTGTGAGTTCAATTCCTGCACTGGCTGAGGTTACCATGAAGGACTCTCCTTCTCAACCTCTCCCCTTGCCTGAGGCATGGTGACCCTCAAGTAAAACCACCATCAGTCATCTTCTTTAATGAGAGAGCAGCTGTATGGTTCTGTCAGACTATGGTGACTTACCTAGGGATTTTTGCTGGGGTCAGTGTGAACTGCAGTATGAGGAGAATGTGGATGAGCTGCCTGCTGGTGAGATTTTGAACTATAATTTCCACCGTGTAGGCAGAGGCTACACCCAGCTACCTATTTCTGATGGACTCTATCCACATTCTGGAAGTCCCTCGTCTATCCTAGTTAACCTCCTTTTCAGCCTCTCCAAGGCTTTGACATTAGATGATAGAATCAGAAATTAACCAAAGGGAAAGAGATCACTTGACATGCGATCTTCATTGTTTGTAAATATGATGCCCAGATTATACAAAGCAGAATGTGAGATTAAGTTCAAAGCAAAAACAGAAATTGCTGAAAAGTCTCAACAGGTCTGGCAGCATCTGGGAAGAGAAATCAGAGTTAACATTTTGGGACCAAACGCTGGCTTCTCTCCCCAGATGCTGCCAGACCTGCTGAGATTTTTCAGCAATTTCTGTTCTTATTTCGGATTTTCAGCATCCACAGAACTTCCAGTTTTTTTTGTGAGATTAATTTAGACACTTGCCTTGTAGTAAACCCCATTGAGATTTGAGAAGAAGCATTGATGGTACCACCAGCCTCCATGTGAGATCTTGGCACAGATGTTGCCAGTGTCTGGTGTGCTGAAGCTCCTCTTGTTGTGATACCAGGCAAAGGAATCTTCCACAGTTCCACTGAAACCTGCAACATGCAGGCGGAAATGATTGGACTCATCCTCAATCCTGTTGGTCACAGAATAGCAGACACTATGATCACCAAAACATTATAGGACTAATGAGCCTTTCTTTTCTCATAGCTCAGGTCCATTCATATACTTGCTCAACACACCTAGCTATTCATCTGATATACCCTCCAACTGCACCTACCGAAAATCTCCTTACATCACCTGTACTTCCCTCCTTTAGGTTGACCAATCCTGGCTTTTATAGTCTCTCCATATCCCACAAGTCCCTCATTAAGCTCCTTTCCACCCCTATGAGGCCTTAACATTAGATCTCAGTCTCCACATGACAGGAAGAGTCCAGATTCTCCAAGCTACTGATTGACAGCGTGTTGGGGTATCTCTGATTGATAGCACAATGGGAAAGTATCTTTGGTTGGCAGTGATGGGAGCATTTCTGATTAGGAGTTTGATCGGACTTACTCTGCTAGTGTAATGGGAGTATATTTCATTGTCAAGAGTATCTCAGTGTGACAATGTGATGGAGGAGTATCTCAGATTGACAATGATGGGGTGTTTCTGATTCATAGAATCATACAGTACAGAAGACTGTATGACCTACTGAATGACTTTTCCTCCATCATAAGGTCAGAACTGTGGATGTTAGCCAATGATTGCACAATATTCAGCGCCATTCGCGATTCCTCAGGTACTGAAGCAGTCCATGTTCAAATGCAGCAAGACTTGGACAATATTGAAGCTTCAGCTGACAAGCAGCAAGTACTGTTCACACCACACAAGTGGAAGGCCATGTCCATAAACGCTGGCCCAGCCAGCAATGCCCACATCTCATGAGTGAAAGTGAATAAAATGTATACACACCAATCATGCTATCAGAAATACTTCCATCATGCTGTCATCAGAGAGACTCCCTGTCAATCAGAGCTACACCCATCATGCTGTCAATCAGAGATACACCCATCACGCTGTCAATCAGAGAGAATCCCTGTCAATCAGAGAAACTCATATCATGCTGTCAATCAGAGAAACTCCCTGTCAATCAGAGATACACCCATCATGCTGTCATCAGAGAGAATCCCTGTCAATCAGAGATACACCCATCATGCTATCAATCAGAGAGACACCCTATCAATCAAAGAGACGCCGATCATGCTGTCAATCAGAGGGATTACCCATCAATCAAAGTTGAAGTCTGTCCCATTTAGCATGGTGACAGTGCCAAACAATGCGTTGGAGGTTATTCTCAATGTAAAGATGTTACTTCATCTCTGCAAGTACTGTGCAGTGGTCATTCTTACTGATATTGTCAATGACAGGTGCCTCTGCAGCTGGCAGGTTGGTAAGGATGAGGTGAAGTATGTTTTTCCCTCTTGTTGGTTCCCTCACCATTTGCCACAGACCCAGTGTAGTAGCAATGGCCTTTAGGCCCTGACCAGCTTAGTCAGTAGTGCTGTTGCTGAGCCTCTCTTGGAAGTGGACATTGAAATTCCCCACCCAGAGCACATCTTGTGCCCTTGCCACCCTTCGTGTTTCCTCCAAATGTTGTTCAACATGGAGAAGTACTGATTCATCAGCCAAGGGAGGAAGGTTTTTGGTAACGAGTAAGAGGTTTCCTTGCCCATGTTTAACCTGGAGTCAATGTTGAGGAGTCCCACAGCAGCTCCCTCCTGACTGTATACCACTGTGCCGCCATTTCTTGGGTCTGTTCTGCCAATGGGATTGGACATATCCTGGAATGGTGATAATGGTGTCTGGGATATCGTCTGTAAGGTATGATTCATGAGTGTGACTATGTCAGACTGTTGCTTGACTATTCTGTGAGACAGCTCTCCCAATTTTGGCACTAGCCCCCAGATGTTAGTAAGGAGGATTGTGCAAGGCAACTGAGCTGTTTTTGCTGTTTTCATTACAGGTGCCTGGGTCAATACCAGTGGTCTGTCCAGTTTCATTTCAATGTCAAGACTTGGTAGTAATTGATACAATTGAGTGGCTCCTTTGGTAGTTTCAGAGGACAATTGAAAGTCAACTACGTTGCTGTGGGTCTGGACTCACAAGTAAGCCAGAGGATGGCAGATTTCTTTTCCCCGAAGGGTGTTAGTGATGCCAGATGGTTTTTTTCCTGACAATTGGCAATGATTTCATGGTCAACAGTAGATTCTTAATTGTAGATTTTTTTTATTGGATTCAAACTCACCGTAGCGGGATTTGAACTTGAGTCCCCAGAACATTAACTGAGTTTCTGGATTAAGAATCGAGGAATAATACCATGAGACAGTCACCTTCCTTTTGATTGTCTTCGTTTGACAAGGAGTATATCTGATTGGCAGCATGCTGGGGTAAGTGTCAGGATTTATTGTGCCTTTGCAGTTTTGTGTCCCCAAGAATCTGATCATTTTCCTACCTGAAAGTTTCGTACAGCGCAAACTTCTGTCGGTATTTCCAATCCTCCAAATCAATTCGAAGTGAATATTCCCCCTGGCTTGTAATGTCGTGAATATTATTGTTACCCAACCAGAACTCTGCTGTCAGTTCTCCAAAACCCTCCTTATACTCAGTCCAGCCTCTGTTGAAGTCAATGGTGCCATCAACCCTGCGTTGGATAATGGTCCATCCTCCTGCTGTAAATTATAAACCCTGAGTGAGTGAAAACTGAACAAACAATGTACTCAAGGAACACTGAACCCCGGAGATAAATAAAAAACTTGTATGATCTTTGGACACCTCAAAGCTGATGTGAAACCCTAGGTTTGTGCTCATGTGACTGGACTATAATCTTGAGGCTTGGAGTAAAGGTGTGGAGACATGAATTCCCTCACCGCAGCTGAGGAACTCAAATTCATTCATGAAATAAGTCTGGAATTAAAAATAAACTGGTCTCAGCAATGATGACCATGACACTACTGGATTGTTGTAAAAACCCATACAATTTGCTGATGTTCTTTTGAGAAAGTAATCAGCTGCCTTACCCAGTCTAGTTTATACATGACTCCAGACCACAGAAATGCAGTTGACCCAATGAGGTCATCTTTGTGTTGAACCACAGAAGATGGGAGATATACGAAATGAATATTTTGCATCAGTTTTTACTGTCAGAAACGTTTACCCCAACTCAAAGACGACTGTTGCGATAAACCTCTTCAGGGCCATGTTTTTCTCTCATCGTCACTGAAATAACTCCATGAAGGCCGTCATCCTGTCACCAAGTCACCCTTTATTTATACAGATCAAAAATCACATGACACCAGGATATAGTCCAACAGGTTTATTTGAAAATGCAAGCTTTTGGAGCTCAGCCCCTTCCTCAGGCTTAGTGTGAGAGAGGGTATAAGACATGGAATTTAAAAGCAGAAAGGTAACAAACCTGAAACTGGCAGCCTCTTTTTGAATCTTTTGTCAGTTAGGAAGGAGACTCCTGATTAAAATGCAAAACCCAGATTCCTTTCAAATCATTGTCCTGAGATAATCAAAGGTTTTATCAATGTATACAAGAGGTGACATCTCAGGTCAGACAATGCATTTTAGGTGTGAGGTCTTGCTTAGAATCTGTCTGTGTTTTAAACTGGGGTCAGGTTTTTTTTGAGAAAAACAGAATGTATCTGCAACTACACAAACATCTTGGATGAAAAAATTCATCATGATCTTTGGTTCATGTCACACTACAGGTGACCCCACCATACTTTATACTCCCACACACACATACACACACACTCTCTCTCACACACATACACTCCCTCACACACTCTCAAAATCACATATACACTCTCTCTCACACACACATATACAGCCTCACACTCACACTCTCTCAAACAACTCAAGACTGGGCATCCATGAGGCGCTGTGGGCCATCAACAGCAGCAGAATTGTACTCCAGCACAATCTCTAACCTCATGGCCCGGCATATCCCCCACTCAACCATTACCATCAAGCCAGGGGTTCAACCCTGGTTCAATGGAGAGTGTAGGAGGGCATACCAGGAGCAGTACCAGGCATACCTGAAGATGAGGTATCAACCTGGTGAAGCCACCAAACAGGATTACTTGCACGCCAAACAGCAAAAGCAGCAAGTGATAGACAGAGCTAAGCGATCCCACAACCAACGGATCAGATCTAAGCTCTGCAGTCCTGTCACATCCAGTTGTGAACGGTGGTGGACAATTAAACAACTCACTGGAGGAGGAGATTCCACAACTATCCCCATCCTCAATGATGGAAGAGGCCAGCTCATCAGTGCAAAAGATAAGGCTGAAGCATTCGCAGCGACCTTCAGCCAGAAGTGCTGAGTGGATGATCCATCTTGGCCTCCTCCAATGGTCTCAAGCATTACAGATACCAGTCTTCAGCCAATTCGATTCACTCCACATAATATCAAGAAACGGTTGGAGACACTGGATACTGCAAAGGCTGTGGGTCCTGACAACATTCCGGCAATAGTACTGAAGACTTGTGCTCCAGAACTTGCTGCTGCCCTGGCCAAGCTGTTCCAGTACTGGTATCTACTCGACATTGTGGAAAATCGCCCAAGTATGTCCTGTGTATAAAAAGCAGGACAAATCCAACCCGGCCAATTATCGCTCCATCGGTCTCCTCTCGATCATCAGTAAAGTGATGGAAGGTGTCAGTAACAGTGCTATCAAGCAGCACCTGCTCAGCAATAACCTGCTCAGTGACGCCCAGTTTGGGTTCCGCCAGGGCCACTCAGCTCCTGATCTCATTACAGCCTTGGTTCAAACATGGACAAAAGAGCTGAATTCCAGAGGTGAGGTGAGAATGACAGCCCTTGATATCAAGGCTGCATTCGACCGAATGTGGCATCAAGGAGCCCTGGCAAAACTGGAATCAATGGTTATCAGAGGCAAACGCTCCGGTGGTTGGAGTCGTACCTGACACATAGGAAGATGGTTGTGGTTGTTGGAGGTCAGTCATCTCAGCTCCAAGACATCTCTGCAGGAGTTCCTCAGGGTAGTGTCCTAGGCCCAACCATCTTCAGCTGCTTCATCAATGACCTTCCCTCCATCATAAGGTCAGAAGTGGGGATGTTCGCCGATGATTGCACAATGTTCAGCACCGTTCGTGACTCCTCAGATACTGAGGCAGTCCATGCTCACATGCAACAAGATCTGGATAATATCCAGGCTTGGGCTGAACAAGTGGCAAGTGACATTGACGCCACACAAATGCCAGGCTATGACCATCACCAATAAGAGACAACCTACCCACCGCCCCTTAACATTCAATGGTATTACCATCACTGAATCCCCCACTACCAACATCCTGGGGGTTATCATTGACCAGAAACTCAATTGGACTCACCACATAAACACAGTGGCTACAAGAGCAGATCAGAGGCTAGGAATACTGCAGTGAGTAACTCACCTCCTGACTCCCCAAAGCCTGTTCACCATCTACAAGGCACAAGTCAGGAGTGTGATGGAGCACTCCCCGCTTGCCTGGAAAATGCAGCCCGAACAACACTCAAGAAGCTCAACACCATCCAGGACAAAGCAGCCACCTGATTGGCACAACATCCACAAGCATCCATTCCCTCCACCACCGACGCTCAGTAGCAACAGTGTGTACGATCTACAAGAGGCACTGCAGAAATTCACCAAATATCCTCAGACAGCACCTTCCAAACCCACGACCACTTCCAACGAGAAAGACAAATTGGACATATGGGAACACCACCCCCTCCAAGTTCTCCTCCATGTCACTCACCATCCTGAATTGGAAATATATCGCCGTTCCTTCACTGTCGCTGGGTCAAGATCCTGGAATTCCCTCCCTAATAGCTTTGTAGGTCAACCCACAGCAGGAGGACTGCAGCAGTTCAAGAAGGCAGCTCACCACCACCTTCTCAAGGGCAACTAGGGACAGGCAATAAATGCTGGCCAGCCAGCGATGCCCACTTACCACAAATGAATAAAAAAAAGAACACATACATACTTAGACACTCTCTCTCTCACACACATACACTCCCTCACGCTCACACTCTCTAAAACACACACACACAGACACATACTCTCTCTCACACACATACACTACCTCACACTCACACTCTCTCAAACACACACACGTACACACATTCCCTCTCACACACATACTCTCCCTCACACTCATACTCTCTAAAACACACACACACTCCCTCACACTCACACTCTATCAAACACACACACTCCCTCTCTCACACACACATACACTCCCTCTCTCACACACATACACTCCCTCACACTCACAATCTCTCAAACACACACACTCTTTCATACACATACACTACCTCACACTCACACTCTCTCAAACACACACTCTCTCACACACATACACTCCCTCACACTCACACTCTAC